TTCGCAAAATGCAATTCCTGAGTGATTCCCGTGCAACCTCGTCAAGGTGGATGTGCAGAAAATCCGCATGCCAAGCAAAGCAATGCTCTGTTCCTCACCTCAATACAACGTTCCCGACTGACACGGGAAAAAGGTGTACAAGAAGTTGCTGAGCAAATAATTTCTCACTATGCTCCTAACGTTATCTCATTGCAGAACGGTATCCTAAACTTGTTGGACACCATTGGATCCACAAATTAAGGTCTTTCAAGCACTCCACACACTTTATTGAACTGAGTTAAGGAACAGACTCTCAGTACACTGGATAAGATACTGTATAATCCATTGTTCCAGGATGGATATTTCATTTGAGAAATGTATTTAGGCCCTTATTTTAATGTTGTGGGGGCGTGTTTATGATTAACCTCACCTTCCTCCCTTTTGCCTCTCTGTATATACATAAAGTATGGAATGTGGTGTGAGCTGGTTTTATGAAGAGTGGCACTTGGGTCCACCTTCTATTTTTCTGTCATTGTCATCCTGTGAATGGTCTGTTCACATTTTTGTTTTGGTGGCTTGCTGTTGTGGAAGGGTGCTTAATTTTGGTATTTCACAGGTGTGGAAGTAGTATTTGAGGGAGTTTATTTTTTTGCCCATAAAAATCTAGGTGCAGTCTCCACTGCCTAGGGTGCTCGGCCTTAGAACTAGGGTGATCGCCTGCCATGCCAAAGCACTTAAATTAAAAAGAATTAACAGGAGACTCACTGCTGCATGGAGGCAGTGGGGCCTTCCTGCAGATTGCCACTAGGATACGGTGCCAAGATGGGTCCATCTGCCACTGAAAAGTCATCAGCTGTGCACTGTACTGCAGTTTGCGCCCTTCAACCTTATTCACTGCACTCCAAAAACAGAGCACAGGAACATGGGATTTGGGTAGCAGGTACTTCTTCTCTGCAAGCCCAACATGGATGCTAATATGTCCATGTTTCCAACTGAGATGCGTTTTGCTACTGTAATGCAGCCGTGCAAATGTACAGAGCTGCCACATGCTTCCTGGACTGTGATTGGTATGAATGTGCCACAAGAAAGAGAGCCTATAACCTTTTCTGATAGAAGACAAATCACTTATTTATGATCATACTCGTCAAGTTTCTTAGGCACATTTTTCAGCACATATTTTTTCTTTCTGGTATGCTGCAAAGTGCCAAGTATCAGAAGAACAAGAAGTTTCTTCTAAAAGGAATGTACCACAGTTTACAAAAAAAAAAATGACAGAGAGGCAAGCTTTCAAATATAAAACAGTCTGTTGGAGAAGAATTGCATACAAACAAATGCTCATTTACTCAGACTATTATACTCATTAGACTTGTTTAATAATAGATTAAAAGGATTGCAAATCCGTTTTGAAAACAATTCAAGTTACGCGTTCAGTCAAGTGGTTGAGGATTTATTGGAACAATTCTTATGCCTTCCAGAGGCAGCTCCTAGCAAATTTGGGGTTTAACCTTTATAGACTTTAAGAACTTAGACCAACATGAATGGAATGATTCCTCCTTCCTGTCCGAGGGATTTCAGACTAGGCATAGCTAAGCCCACCAATTTCAGAGAGGTTATTTATACTGAAATCTGCATAGGATCAGGATGTACATCCTCAAAAGTCTATGATTTACCCCCTATGCCTTTTCAAAACCGCATCAATGCCTCAGGTCTTCCAAATAATGACTTTTGTTTGACAACTTGACAGAGATGGAATTCCTTCCCAACAGACTTATCAAAGATAAGCAACTTTTAGGGGTTTTGTTTAAAGAAACACAGAAATAAAATAGGGTTGATATGGCCAAAATTACTGCTCCCTGCCCCATTACATATGCAAGAAATGTCTGGACACCTATATGTTCCTTCCAGTGGCCACTGTGTGAACATAGTACTGGATCGGTTGGACACGTAGCCTGGTCTAGTATGACTCTTCTTGCTGTTACCTTACAATGCAAGAAGCACTGAGCCAACCGAAATGAGTTGCTTGCCTTGGCTGCAGAAACCGACATGCAGATGTGTAGCAAACCTTACCCTGACTGCAAGATAGCACCCCCTAATCTGTTTGTAAACCGTGGTGGTGGTTTGCTGCAGCCCTAACGGTTCTGTGGAAAGAGTTTGTGGCTTGGTCCAGCACCGCAAGCAGTGGATGTTTTGGACTAAAATTCCCACCGTTCCTCATCATTGTTCAATTTAACTGAGGGTGGCTGGAGATGCAGTCAAACACATCTGGGACACACAGATCGGGAAAGGTTGGTGGCTCTTCAACCAGTCTTTATGGATGCCTTGTTCACTTGAGAGGCCAGCTCCTCATCAGCTGAATCCTGATGAGACACAAGTGTTGATTGCTGGCAATCCTGATAGGTCAAGAGAGAGGAGTTTGCCTGCTCTTGATGAGAGTCACCCTAATTTTGAAGGGATTGCTGCTAAACCCAGAGACATGTGTACATGGAAACACGCTTTGCCAATGTGCAATGATCAGCTGTAGCACGATGGCCTGACCACATACTCTGGTGGCTTCCATCCTGACTTACTGTTCTGCACTCTACCTGTGATTACCTCTAACAAATGCAGCACCATTCAGCAGCATGACCAAAGGCCAGATAACAGATTACACCTGTCCTGGCATAGTACACCTGCACCGGATGTATGATTGCTACCTGTTGTCATTCAAGGTGGTGAATCAGGAGGAGCAGTGGAGGCCCAGTGCTTCCTCTTGTGCGAACCTTCATGGTCTTTAAGCTCTACCAGTGGAAAAAAATCCTTTTCTACAACCTACCCTAATACACTTAGCATTTCAGATTAATTGAATCTCAATAACTAGGCAGCGGTCCTATCAGCTCTCTGATGTACATACAGCCAAAATGTGTAACATACGTGTGACATCACTTCCATTCAGAATATATTTCTGACAAAGAGATCATGTAAGCTCTTATTATTTAACCATGCAGTAAAATAATCCTTAAGAGATATGAGATCCTGCTCTGATTTAGTCTGAGATTTCCAAAGCTTCCTGATACTGTCAAAAGAGATGGAAGGATGAGATGAATGATCGGTTTATGCATCTAGGATCAAGGTCACGGATTGGGCCATGTGGGCTCAAAGTGTTACACATAGGACCTCCATCACACAGTCTATACTCACCTTTTCTCAAAGGAACCCAAGGCAGGGCATAGGAGTTTTTCCATTCTGCTGCTATCCCAGCCTTAATGCTATGAGGTGTGCTAGGCTAAGAGATAGAAACTGGCCCAAGACCACATGACCGGGTGGGCCTCTGGACCACAGCCTTCTCCATTCCAATCTAACATGCTCCTGCTTTGCAGCCCCCATGCTTAGCCCTGGGCCGTGAGGACTGAAGGGGGGTAGCATCCGACAGAGTGGAAATATATCTGCACGGCAGGTCCAAAATTGCTGCAAATGATTTGCTTTATCTTGGGTTTCAATATTGATTCTTTCGGCTTGAACCAGGACAAGGCATTGGGCTACAAATCAGCACAAAACTAAGCATCCATTGCCATGGAAATACAGGGTCCAATCTAAAGAATGGCATTTGTCATCATTCCACGGATTCCACTGGGATTAAAGAAGGTGTACATTTCTCTGGAATGGATCCCATGGGGTTAGCTAATTCTTTGATGCACCGTGGCCAATTACATTCTCAAATGGCCACGGCAGCTCATGATACTGCATCCTATATATGTTAAACTCACTGAGATTTCAAACATAATGAAATAAAATGAAAATGTACCTTCATTTCACTAGTTTCTTGATGTGCAAATTCAGTGAAATTCAGGCCATAAGATAACATTTGGTGGATGGCAGGTGGTTAGGTTTAAGTGTTTTGTAGAGTCCACATGGTCCAATCCATGAACATTCATCACTTAATCGCTGTCTCACTACTGCTGGTTTATTGAGTTCACACCTCACAAAATTATTCATGGCATCCCCTGCATTCAGTTTCCTGATATGTGAAAAATAAAATTCCCATTCTTCTAGTTTTGATTTATGTTTAATAAATGTGTTGCTTATTATCCTTTTGAATATTTTTCTATACTATAATGGCCGACACAACACCTTAGAAGAGTTAGGAAACAAGATCCAATAACATACAAAAGACAGCAAATGATACTTTTAGAGTGATTGACTTTAAAATGCAAACGAAACGCATCTCAGAGAGATTACTTCAACTAATCATTTTAGGCTTGTCTTTGAAGAATGTACCTTCATTTAAAATTGAAAATAAATGCTATTTTTCGCTGCTCAGTATTCATGTCAGCATATTTAGCATATCCTCCACTGCAGACAGAAACCTTTGTAATTTGCAATGTATTAATTTTTTGTGTTTGCTATCAGTGCATCTGTATAGCCATCTATTAATATATACATAAGAAACTATGGGAAATTTGGCAAATGTGGATGAAGTTACACTATCAGTTGTGTCAAACGACCAAGAAAGTGAATGGCACTTATGAAGGTTTACCTAGATAAGGGATCACAGTCAAACTGTCAAAGATTATGAAGATATAGCTTTATTTATTTGGCTCTTTTTCTTGCAAAATCACCCCCCTAGATGTACTAAAGTTATTTACTAACTGTTGTGATGCAACATTTTTGTATGGAAGATTATGCACCTGATTAAGCTAGCTTTCTTGCCTTTATTGAAAAAGCATCCTAATCCATATAGATATGGCTGTGGACACTCTAAAAATGCATTCATCTTAGCCACAAGGAATGCAATTCTGCATTGTCTCAAATTAATTATTCTTCTTTAATTGCATTATATAAACAGAAATGAACTGCTAATTTAAAGGAAATCTATCAACGTGAAATGAATTCTCTCTTATAAAAAAAACCCAGATGAACTTGACCTTGTATGAACTTGTTTTGATGTGGCCCAGATGGCAGGCTGCATGCTTGAATAGCAGGCTAAAGCAGAGGAAAAACTAATATAGTAAGATCTAGATTTATAGCCTTTTGCAAATTCCTACCTTGTATTGTCCTTTCAGCATCTGTTCTGCCCCCACTGCGGTCAGCTTCTATCTCTGGGGTCAGAGAGTCTAAAAGCACAGAAAGGTAAGGCTGACACATATTTCATTTGAGTCTTAAAGCACCCCCCGCCACCACTTTACAACCTGTTACTCCAGTCCTGAATTACAATACAATCAACCTTTGCCCTGTTTTTAATGTTGAACAATGGCTGGGTACCAGAACAATAATTTTTCAACAAGCAAGATTAATGCAAAATAGATGCTTAAGCAGAATCAAAAATAGAGAGCTGGTATCTCAAAGCTAATGCTGTAATAAAATTGTTTGCTTAGATACACCCTTGCATTAATAAAGAAATCAAAAGGATTTCAGAGGAAAAATTCTATGGAAAGAAATGATGTTGATTTTTCCTCTGTTGCAGTTATAGAAGCCAGCCAATAACCACCTTACCAGAAGGGCCTTGGAACCAGGCATTAATCATACAAATGCAAAAAGCCAACTTCTTACCATTTAGGACCCTGAGATTATCTGTGGAAGCTGCCTGCTTCAGCGTCTGTTCCGCTTGTTCTCGCCGCTTTGTCTCAAATTCAAGTGCTTCCTGTAATTTCCTCTTGGCTTTCTTTTCCTTCTTTAACCTTTTCTGAATTATTGCTGCAGTGGAAAAAATATCTATTCAAATTCAACCTCAAGATCTTGGCTCTAACAATTTATGATTTTAGATCCTCAAAATGTTGCTATGACAATATTGAAAATAAAATAATTACACATGTGATCTCATCACATATTTACAAGTAATCCTCAATTTCATTTTCATGGTCCAGCCTTAGAAAGTTCTGCAAAAATGGCTGTAACAAATTGAAGCTATCCCTGATTTACTCCAATCTCACATTTCATAACATTCTGTAAGCAATCCAACTGTTTAGAATCAGAATCCATGCCTTGAAATAAGTTTTACCAAATAAGCGAGAAAGAGTTTGTTGAAAACGCCTTGATTATATTGCATAATGGTTGAGGATTTTGAAAACTTTACATAGTATCTTATCTGGACATTTTCCCTATATGAAAACAAAGACACATGGCTGCCATTTTGTTTTCCAAATTTACCAGCTCCTGGCAGGTTAATATGATGCTTTTCGCTGTTTTCTCTTCTGTAAGGAGGAGCTGGTGAAAAGACTGCTGTTACATCCATTAACGATGTTTATGTTCAGAAGAGAAACAGCTTCATTTCCAGGAGCATGACAGTTCTCAGTGACTGTCCACCCTACACTACAGGGGCCAACAGACGTGTGCAATCTTTCAATAACTCCTCTTGCTCTGTGATATGTTTGCATTTCTTCCAAGATACCCACTTTCCCCTTCAGCCTTTATCCTCCACTTTCATACTTTGGGCCCTTTGTTTCCATCCTTCCAGTGGGCAGGATGAAAATGTAAATTACATTGACATCCAGTGCAAGACAATGCAGGTCAAGACAGACAAATGTGTGATTGCAAAAGGATAAGATTTATAAAACAAGGCTTTCTGTTGTAGAAGCATGAATTCACAATGTTCGTGGTGGAAAACACTTTTAAGGCCATACTATGTATGAAACAAGAAAGCAGTTGCTATCATGCCAGCAAGAAACGAGCTCTCAAATCACATAAGAACTGATTTTTTGTTTAGCTTCGGTTGTGAAGTAGAAGCATCTTGAGCAGCTTTATGGCTTAATGTTTTATTATAACCACACCGTAAAAAAACCTTAATGAATACAAAGGAAGTACAGGTTGCTTTCTGAATTATGTGCTGGTTATAACTTATCTCGACTATGGATTTCAGAGCTACTGTAAGTAATATTGGCTGTGTACTGTCCCACTTAAGAAAGATGGTATTAGTTTTACTACAATCATTGCAGCTTCTACAGTCAAAGCAGTCACTAATTAGAGGATAGAATCGGAAATCAAAGGAAATGAGACAAGTAAACATGTCATGTAGCATAACTTGTAAGGAGCACAGTATATATAAGATCCCGTATAAGGTTCCCGTGCTATTCAAGCCATACAAAGTTTTACTACTGGTTCATTAGCTCACTTGCTCACTTATAATCCTGGTGCATCAATCTTAATCACATTTACCTAGAAGTAAGCTTCATTGATATATATTACGATGCCAGGATATCAAAAGACTTTAAATCCTTCTTTAATAATTGGGCATTCTTACTTTGTTTCACTGTATTATCATTATGGTCATAAGACATCAGGTGATAGAATTAATGCTGATATATGGGGGAAGCCTACTTAATATAGAGTTGCAGAATTTCTTTAAGAAATACCACTGTGCAACTTGCATTCCCTCTTATATCAACTGAGTGAATCTTCTTGACTGCATGAGCCTTCTGCCAGTCCAAACAGCAACAACGTGTGAAGGGCTGCACCCTATTTGTCAAGGACATCTTCTTGAGATGTCCTTTCTCGAAAGTGGCATGTGACGTCTTGCTCAAGCTGTGTAATCCAGGAATGTCTCGAGTCTCTTGGCCACCTATGCCTCTCTGGCGGTCCTTTCTGCCCCGTTCCACATCCGTGGAAGCGCACAAATGGAGGACGGGAGAAGAATCTGATTTGGTCAGCATAGGTGCAAGGATGCCTCCTCATTAGGCACCAAAAGGGGTCTAGGTAATTAATAATTAACTCAGGAAAAATGATTAATTTTCAAATGTCTAGTGAACATCTGGGCAATTAATCCAATTTCCTGGATTCATTACAAATCTTCCCAGAGAGGTTGGGCTGCCCATCATTAGCTTTATGTAGATTACATAGCCCCAAGTTGTGGTGTCATGATTCCACATAACTTTGTGTCAGAACCTAAAACTACATAATAAACTGTAAGTAGGATTTAACTAGACAGGACTTTTCTGAAATGGCCAACATTTGTCACATGCCCTGGACCAAACAATGTCAAATGCTCATCTTCATAACATGCTGTCTGAAATGTTTGGAATTCTTTCTGACATTGCCACTGTGTCAAAACAAGACTGTGGGAAGACGAGATCCAAAATCGATGAAGAACTTGATTCTGCATAACAGCTCAGAAGTAATATAACTCCTCTTTCAAAATAAAATATGAAAGAATATGTTGTATCATTTGGGCAAAGCAAACAAGGCTACAATCTTCTATTTGGGAATCATACTTCTGAGTAAATATGTACAGGATTGCCCCGTAAGGCGGGGTTATAGTTTAATATTTTCAAACACCTTCCCAGAAGTGAGATAATGCACATGAAATGTCATCAACATGCAAACTGTAAGAACCATACAAATGTTAAGCACTCATCATTATGAGGTAAAAGCACATCCTTATTCAGAAAATATATGCCAGAGTTATATTCCCTGAAATATATATAAAGTTACTGTGATGTTGCAAGATTTAAGAGTGGCTCAAATATAGCCCCAGTTAATAGGATGTACATGAGTAAGGTTATACTCACTTCATTCTGCTATGCAACGAACATGAAAAAGAGTTTCTGTGACTAAACCAGGACCACTCATACAAGCAGTGTACCAGATGGAATGGCAATAGGCATAGGGACCTTAATGGTATGCGTTATTGCCAAAATATTACGCATGACTGCTATATCTAGAGGCTGAAATGACTTAGCTACACCTCTGTTCTAGAGTCACACCTCTGTATCTAGAGACCAAAATTACCTAGCTGATCATTACCTCTGTTCTTCTGCTCTACTGCCAACTGCTTTTCAAGAGTTTCCCTCAGTTCTCGCTCTCTGAACAGTTCCATTTTAAGCTCTGTCTTTTCCAGCTGGACTTGCTTCTCTTGAGCACGAGCATTATCTATGGCAACCTTTAGCAGGCCCTGTTTGAAGATAAAAAGTAATGGAATAATCTTTTGAAATATGGAACAAATGAATCAACATAGTTAGCTGTGTGAAATCCCATGTTTATCTCTTGCTAGGCCGCAGACACGAGTGTGCAAATAACCATCCATCAGTAACTCTGTGTGTTTGTGGAACTAGAACTGACAGGATTAGATCCAGGAAAGTTTGGTCCCTTTTAATGCCCAGAACTTCGGTCACAGTTACTACAGGATCTTAGGATACAATCCCTTAGCCAAATAATAGGGTGTGTAACACGAAGGCTGGAGGAGACTCCTGCGAGTCCCTTGGACCACAAGGAGATCAAACCAGTCAGTCTTAGAGGAGATCAACCCTGACTGCTCTTTAGTAGGTCTGGTATTGAAGATGGAACTCAAATACTTTGGCCACCTAATGAGAAGGAAGGACTCCCTGGAGAAGACTCTGGTGCTGGGAACAATTGATGGCATAAGAAGAAGGGGACGGCAGAGGATGAGGTGTCTGGATGGAGTCACTGAAGCAGTCAGTGTGAGCTTAAGTGGACTCCGGGAGATGGTGAAGGACAGGAAGGCCTGGAGGAATATTGTCCACGGTGTCACAATGAGTTGGACGTGACTTCACAACTAACAACAACATGAAGGCACCAGCCTTTTAAACCAGAGGAGAAACTGTCACCTTTCCTTCCACAATTCATTCCTTATGTTCATTGAGTTCAGAGTCTGAAATTGCTACCTGGCTTTCTCCAAGTGAAACTGACTTTGCAGGGGGGTTGCAACCAAATGCTACTAGGCAATTGGCTCTCAGCCACTGTAAGCAGAGGGAGAAGTTGAGAAGGAGCATGGACTACAGGCAGTCCCCAGGTTATAAACAAGTTCCTTTCCTGGGCAAAGAGAAATTTATCTTTGAATTTGTAAGTAAGTTGGGTCACGTATGCTTGGTCCTCCACATTCATGGGGGTTAGGGACACACGCCACCCATGAAAGTGGAAAAGCGTGAATATCTCTACTCACCCAAACTCATCAGTGCCTCCTCTTTGCAGCAAGAAAACGCCAGAGAGATTTCCCTCTTCAGATAGGCAGGGCAGGAAGGCATGCTTTGGATGCCTCCTTCTTTCCCCTTTTGCTTCCCCTCTCTCTATGGTGATGATTTTCAGCAGTCATTTAAAAAAAAATAGGCTCTATGTACGGGTTGTTTGTAACTCAGATGTTCATAATTCAGGGACTAACTGTACCCACATATCCACCATAATGCCTGAGGCCTTCCTCCAAGCTGCCCTGGGGCTCCTTAACTTGTGGGGAAACAAAAGTGGGTTTGCTTGTAGAAAAGGTCTGCTTGACTTGCAAAACCTGAATTGAGGGCAAAGGAATATATGACTTGTCCTGGCCTTCTTGAGGATGTCTAGAGCTCCTTGGATCTGCACTTATCTTTCAGGATTGCACCTGTCTTTTGCAGGACTCACATGGCCACATCCTAGCGGATGGGCTCTTCTCGTTGGCATGAGGAGTTTACACTGGGCTAGGAAAGTGGTGAATAGGTGTGAGAGGAAGATACATTTCTATGCCGTTATGTGTAACAAGTCTCAGGAGGGCTTACAGAAGATAAAAATAACCATTTAAATAACAATACCATAATATAAATACCATTAAAACATTCAACAATAAAACAAAATAAACAATATATCTTTTTCATAACTAAAGAAAAAATGATGATGCCTTTGTTTCACACATTTACTGTAGGACAATAAGCTCGATGAATTATTGTGAAAGAAGTGCTTTTCACATAACTGGAGAAAAAAGGTACTTGCTGAAATTAAGGTCCTGGGTCCCCACTGAATTCTGTTGCAGCTGATTCCCTGGGGTCAGCTGGGTTTCCCCCCTCACCTGTGTTTTCTCCCACCCAAATCTTTCTGCCTGAGCTTCTTCTCTGAAACCTAATGCCGGTGCGGTTCTTCAAAGAAGACTGTCTTTAGGAAAGGGGTCCTTTAACGAACCTCATGCACACATTTTAGCTCTTGAGTCAGCTGCCTCAAACCATTGCTTTTGATCATCATGAAAAACAAGCAAATTACTTATGTTTCGCTTATTACTGTTGGGGGTTTTGTGCCGGGTGGCCAAAAGACTGTGACTGGCTTTGAGTTATTACGATGCATCTTGAGTGAGGGAGGGGAGGGGAGGGGGTGCCACCTGCTGCTCTCTTTCAGGTGGCAAGAGGGCTTTCGGTTGGGTGCTGTGGAGTGGAAATGGGCTTCTGAGATGGTGCAGTAAACTATGTGGAGTAAGGAAACCACGGGTGGGGTACGCAGAGGCATCTGGCTGAGAGAAACATGTTCAGGACTTTATCCGAGTTACTGAGTAATCCTGAATATGTTTACTTGGAAGAAGGTCATACTGAGTTCGATGGGGTTTACTTCTTGACAACTGTATGTAAGATTGGAGTCACATCCCTTAGTAAATATTCTCAGAAAGACAGCCTACCTCATGTACCCTCAAGATAGTTGCAATATCTGAATGTAGGGAGAGAACTGCCCATTGATAACTCTGGTAATTAAAAACAACAACAACCAACCAATTACAAAGGTTGCAATGCTGGTCCACAAAAAATAGAAAAAAGAAGAGAACCAAATCCACAACTGAGCCATATGTTTCTTAGGACTTTTATCTGATCTTAGTAAGGTATGCAACAACATATTTCAATATTTCTACATTTGTATAATGATGAGGTTAATAGGTAACTCAAGACTACAACAGTTGGTGTTGGCTTAGGATTTCAAGATGTTAGAGCCAAAGAGCTATTTAAAAAAGTCTTTAGGTCCTCAAAATAGCACAATCCAGGGGCAACCAAAACAGAGGCGTGCAACCAGAAAGCCATTTATATGACGGGAAGCTGAATAATCCAACATGGACCCTGTTGCTGAAGTCTCAGTGATGAAACTTATTCTTATTTTTATCCCTTTCCCCAGTCCTCAGCATCCTCTAAAATTAAAAATTAGGAAATTAAGAAGCATGGCATGTTCACAGATATGGAAAATAGAATACCTGATAAGGCAAAATGGTATGAAGTAAAATATTCAATATACTATGGCAAAAATAGTGATGCCAGTTAAGAAAGAAACTCCAAAACATTTATATTTTGCGGGACAGTGCAGGAAGCGTATGTAAGTTGTGCCAAATTCCATGAGCAATGAAGAAAAAATGGGTTTTATAGAAACATCTCACACACCTTTCATATTTTAGATACAGATTATATTTGACTTCACCGAGAATTCAGGCAAGATATTCATCTTACACAAACATGTGTTTGGTACTTAGCAACCTACTGCATATACCGTGCTTGGTTTGAGCAGGGCCATTTGTATTTATAACTTCGTTCTGGCACCGCAATGGTAAGTGAAACTCCACCATTACCTCCAGCACAGTGCAGAGATGGAAATTTAAATGCCACAAACATGGAAGTTGGTAAACTCGGAGATCAAAATTTGAAACAATGTGGTAGTATAACCAAACAAAACAAGAAGTCCCTTGTGGCAAAATATCAGGAAAATGTTAAAGCTCACAAGCAGACCTCCTTTACATTTTGATGATCCCTTCTTGTTGAACAATAAAAACTAGCTGCTATGGCAACTGCCATCTTTACTCAATCAGCAACATTCATGTACATGTTTCTTCTTCATCAGGAACAAACAATTAGTAACAAATGAAAGAGATCATTACATCAAGTGCCCTTTTAGATCACCCCAATTAAAACTTTAGTTTAGCTGTATTTTAATTCTAACATACCAAATTCTAATTTTCTGCTCTGATTGCTCTTGTTGACTTATCTTTGAAAGATGTACTCGCAGCGCAAAGCCTAGAGATTTATTTAGCAAGTTGCCAATGTTGGCACCACTTAACGTGTTGATTGGTTGTATTATCAGTAGCAATGGAAAATAAATTACTATTAAACTATTATTGTCCTTGGCTGACAAAACACAATATTTTGCTGTTCTTTAAATATGAAACAATCATGGTTAAACATGGAGAATAATGCTAAACTGCAACACTGATGGGTGTAATTTTATGTTAAGCACCTTTGCAAAGCGTGAAGCTGGTAAGAGCAAGCTCTGTTTTCACTGGGCTTCAACACCACATCTTCTCCTCCATCCGATTCCCCTAACATATTTTAGAAACACTCCCTTCTAACGTTGCTAATGGTAATGCAGTGTCTACTGCTGCTCATTATGTCTGAAAAAATATTAGCATGTTTGGCTCTGAAACCCACTAGGGACTACTGAGAACCTATGGAAAATGAACTTTCATTTTTAGAAGTTACACAAGCTCATCAGCAGGGCAGCCAACACAGAAAAAAATTTACATTTGGAGCCAAACTGCTGCCAAAGCAGAAATGTGACCACTGCCAATGAAAATCCTAATGTGGTGTACTTGGAAAGAATAGCTATTAGCCTACGTTCTGTGTAGAAGCGTGTGAGGAAGAGCGCGTCATGCAACTTGCACGAACCTTCTGTGCCTTTGTAATAAGTTTGCCTCTGCTATGCGTAATCCTCAATGTTATTAAAACAATACGCCCACAATCCATTCAAATTCAGAACTCTAATGTTGCATGCACTAATGCTGCTAAAATGTGTAGATTTCTGTAGTATTTAAGTTGCATAACTCTGTACAGGATTACTACCTAGGACAGCAATGTAGGCAAAAAACAGTCTTTTTGAGCTAATTACCAACAATGGGAGTTGTCCAATGACAGCTTAAATGAAGACAGAATTCTTTAAGGTAATGAAGCTTTGTAACAATAAACCAATTGCTGTCCTTTAGACCATTTGAGTCCAATCATATGAAACTTACTGCAATCACTAGGAGATATTAAATGTGATTTACCTGTGTCCCATTGATTTCAAGATGATGTTTTTTCTGTAGAGGATTCTCTGGATTTGAGATGCAAACAGCATACTTGGACTACCATTGTCCATAATAATTTTAATTATTTTTGCTGTTTGAGTCATCTGTCA